CATTGAGTTATTTTAAGTTGTTGACTAATTTTATAAGTTATTACATTTGGTCTTTTAGGTATTTAATGAATTAATAATAATTATTTGTTTGTAAAAAATTTTTATTTATGCTATAATTTAGAATTCTAATATTTTATGATTTAAGAACAAGTTGGTCGAAGGGAACGTTTATTTCTTGAAAAAATTTTCTATAAAAAAGAATAAGAACACATATCATATTATCTTTTATAACAATTATAGGATCCAATTCTATCTTGATATTATTGTCAAAGAATTGAATGAAGAAGTTACAATAATCTCAAAATTTGTATTTAAACTCATTGACTATGAAAAACTTATCGAGAAAAAGAAAAAATGCCTTTGAGGTGTTTTTTTAAAATTTTAATATAATTTTATTAAATGAACATGTAATTTATTTTTATTTAAAATATTTTGATCAAATTCAGTTTGCCTCAGCAGCATTTCAAGAAATATTTTAAATGTCGCTAATATACTAATTTATTTGTTATTGTATAATTTTTAACTGCCACTGCCTGAATTTGAAGCTAAAGCCTTCGTATCTTCATCACTGGGGTATGCATTCATGCTTGTAATTATTGAAGTCAAACATATATATTAGGAAAAACAGAGAAAATGTAAAATTTGGTATGTTTTCAATGGTTAACTATCTTTTTTGTTAATAGGAATTTTATATGAGGAAATTTTACGGAGATCCTGACCAAAGCCAATAATATGATTTTTTTTTTATTAATTTTTTGGCTCCGCTATAACTTTCTATAATATTCTGGTCAATGTCCTGCTTAGTTTTTACCTTTGCCTGTCAAAAGTTTATAATGGAGTATACTTAATGAGGTCGAGTTTGCTTAACCAAGCTTTTAATGCCTTACAATTTCTTTCCAGGTGTGCTGGACTCAATTTATGGGTGTAATAGATTTAGGTGCAAGGATTTTGAGCTTGGTATGTTATGTAACTTTAGCTGAATCCGTGGATCATCTGAACTGAACAAGAGATGCAGGCAGCTGACTTTCAGTTGGAACGAAGAACTTACAGGTTCCTTTTTCTTCTTCTTTTTAATCCATTCCTTTCCTCAGTCACTTAAGTAGTTGCTTTCATCACTGAGTCTCACACTTTCAGGTGACACCACTCTTCACCACTATAAGCTCAAAACTGAATCATGCCTTGGTTGCTTTAGATCTCAACTTCGTTTCCTTTTGCCGTTTTCTTTTTTAGCGTCTATTCTGCTCTTCTTCTCACAGGATCTTGTGCCTTTTTGCCCCCTCTCCATTACATTTATTATTATTTCTCTTTGTATGGGTATATATTAGGGCACTTAACAGTTAAAATAGCCTAGCTAGCAGTCTAACTTCCTGGAAATTACATATCAAAGGCCCGTTAATCACTAGCTTGCATAGCATATATTTGTGCTTATCGCTTAAGATAAAGAGCATGTCTTTTGGATTACAGAGCACACAAGAAGTAAAATCCTCTCAAGCTTCACATGAATCACAAATGACCACCAGAATAATCAAACAGAAGAGGCTCAAGCAATGATAACAGAAAAGTTTCACGCCAAGATATTGAACTTGTGAGGTGCAAATATCTTCTTGGGGTTTATCTATTTGCTGATTTTATTATGTTTTCTTAATGTAATTGTTTGCTTTCATTGATTCTTGATTATTGCTGGTGATGGAAATTTCTTTGAAATTGTTTTTACAGGTCCAGAATTTAATAGAACGGTGTTTGCAGTTGTATATGAATAGAGATGAGGTGGTCAAAATGCTCTTGACTTGGGCAAGAATAGACCCAGCTGGGTTTACAACATTGGGTAGGCCATTTTACAATCTGTTAATAAGTTTGTATTTCCTTCATTCATTGTTATTTTTTAAAAGCTGTAATTCTCAGCAAAGGCTGCAGTCAGTGAAGTAGAATAGAACATGTTATTACAACAAAACAAAAATGTTTCTACTGCCATATGACCTGAATTTTTTAATGTAAATGGGTGTTTATCCAAAATATTATGTGTTCAACAGCACAACAGCAACATTTGTCTGAATGTATCTTAACGGCTTTTCTTAATTTGTTCAGTGTGGCAGAAGTTGGAAGAGGAAAATGCTGATTTTTTCAGGGCCTATTACATAAGGCTGAAATTGAAAAAGCAAATCGTTTTGTTCAATAATTTGCTTGAGCATCAATATCATCTCATGAAATACCCTGTACCTTCTAAGGCTCCCTTGGCCCCAATACAGAACGGGATTCATCCCATGCCTGGTAAGTTTGGGCTTAACACTGGATAATGGAAATGCACTGATTAAAATTTTATAGTAAAGGAATCAATATGGGTTCTCTAGTATATTTTTGGAGAGTGCTTAAATGGCTTCTATCAAGCCTGCAAAAGATAAAAGGTATTCAATCAAATGAAAGTTGACAAATATATATGTGGAGGTGCTTGAATTTTAAACTTAGAGTTTCATATGTTGGCCATGGTATTATTGTATAATGTTTGGTCTCAAGGTAAGACATGAGTTAGAGCTATTTAATATATTGCTGGAAAATGCTGACCAAAATCAGAAATGGTTAAAATATGAATTTTCATTGCAAGAGTTGGTTTTATGGTGGTTTAATGCTCTATATCATTGTCATTATTATTCAGTTCTGGTTATTCAGTGCAGTTAACAATTTGCCAATGGGATACCCTGTGCTGCAACAACCTTCGGTTGCTGCTCCTGGTCAACCACATCTTGATCCTATGGGTGGTGGAATATCTAGCTGTCATGTTGTCAATGGAGTCCCTGCACCAGGCAATTTCCAACCTATGCGAATGAATTCTGGGAACGAGTGAGGACTTGACCTATTTTCATTCTCCTAATTGATTGCACGTTGAATCTCCTATTTTCATGTTGTCAAGCCATCTGTTTATTTATTTCAATTTGATCATATGCAGTTGCTTAATGAACAATTGATGGCCCCAAGTCCTTTTCCCTCTTATCTTACTTATACAACATCTCTGGTTATATTGAGGTTATGGCACTACAATAGAACTCCTATCCAACTCAGTTAATCCAAAACCAGTTGGGGAATTGGGGTTAGCTAAAAAAATCATTTTCCTCTCAGTTTGTTTTAGGGCGATAATCCTTAGATACCTAATATTCCGTCTGTTGTTTCTACTTCATTCTATTTGATTTTTGCATATGTCTTGTTCTAGCTTTCTTAGCTCCTCTTTGATATTTTTTTTCTTTGGTTTCATAGGAGTTAAGCTAATAATAGTTGCTTTTCTTCTTATTGTAGCTTGGCGATGGACAACAATGCAAGTGATGTAGCCCATTCTATTCCCCCTAGCACTGCCATGTCATCTATGTCAGATATGCCGGTCAGTCCCACCTCAGCAGCACCAGGCGGCCATTTTCCATTCACTACATCAGTCATCAGACATATCAGGGATGAGAGTGGATACATCTGCACTTGATACAGCCTTTACAACTGATGTGATAAGTTCAGTAGGATCACAACTTGGACCTGATGGTGGGGCTGGAAATTCTAGAGATTCCCTTAGATCACTAGTAGGGGTGGACATTCGGGTGGTTACCTGAATGGATAACTGATAGGCAAAATACCTAAATCCACCCTCAAAGTATAGTGGTAGGGACGGATCCACCCTTGAACAAAAAACGGGAACAAATCCACCCACAAAATTTTTGACTTGAACAAATCACTCCAAATTTAACGTGTGACGTCATTTGACATCAACAATTCGTTAATTCGTTAACGGATTGCTGACGTCAGATGACGTCAAATTAACAGATTGCTGATGTCAAATAACGTCACACGTTAAATTTGGGGTGATTTGTCCAAGTCGAAAACTTTGTGGGTGGATTTGTCCCCGTTTTTTGTTCGAATGTGGATTCGTCCCTGCCACTATACTTTGAGGGTAGATTTGGGTATTCTGCCTAACCGATAACCAACACAAAAATTTGGATTCGGGTAGGTGCAATTGGTATTTAGTATTTTTAGTTTGGTTTTGATATTAACCAATATGTTTTTTTGGTTCGGCTTTGTTTTGAAGGTTTATTAACCAAAAACCGATTAGGGCCTCCAGATAACCGAACTAAGGCCCAATTTCTAGCCCCAAATGATTTTTGTGGCCCAAAAGATTTAAAACAAGTAAAAAAAAAAAAAAAGAAATAAAAAAGCATAGAACCCTAAATCATCTATTCTCCACCGCCGCCTCCACCATTCTTAGTCTGCTCTTTCTTAAAGACTTCTCCTCTTCAAGTTTCCAACTTTTAATCTCGATTCTTTACGATCTACGACAGATTTTTATGGTTTCTTCGCAACTATAAAAGATTATATATCATCTTATCATATTTTTCCTCCCATTCTCTTCATAATCTTATCTGCTTTCAACCCCTGTTCCTCCTTTTTCATCTTCTCCGATGTTCTCTCTCCTTTCTTCACTCTGCAATAGCAAGTTCGGTGAAAACCGAAATTAAAAAAATAAATAAAAACCGTAATTTTCGGTATCCAATACCGAAAATATAGAAGGATTTTGTATTGGTTTTGGTCACGAAAAAAAGAGGAAAAAAAAATCGGTTAGTTACTTTCCGGTATCAGTTTTCACCAAAACCAACATTTGCCCACCCCTAATCACTAGATCAGATTCAGTGGAATTTTAGCCTTACAGACTTAACAGCTGATCTGTCAAACTTGGGAGGTAAGAATTCTGCTGTTATTGCAAGGAATCATTCAGGTCAGTTTTTGCTGCTTTCATGCATTCAAGCAGTGCAATATTCAAGTTTCATGGATAGATGTGCTTCTGCTAAATCTGGGTGAGGAAAAGGTGTTGGGTTTTTTAAAGCAAAGAAAGAAAAAAAGGAGAGAACCGAGAGGAAGAAGATGAAGAGCAGAGCACATAAAATGGAGTTGGAGTCCTTTTTTTCTTTCTTTGCTTTAAAAAACCCAACAAAAGGATTTTATTTTATTTTTTTGGATTGGCCAATAGGTAAGGAAAAGGTTTTGACTCTTACTTAATGGCATTTATAAATTATACTATAATCATTCTGTAAATCTTAAATACTTTCCTTTTATAGTCATTCTATAACATGTCTTCCTGGGAATTGTTGCAG